TCGCCATGATGTGAATCAAATCTGAAGAATCTTAAAACACAAAAGTTATAGATATCTTCGTTATCTTTTTAATACATCTTGGATCACCTCATTTTGAGAATCTAAAAAATCTTAAAAGATAAAAGTTGTAGATCTCTTCACGGATTTCCAACGCATCTTGGATCACCTTATTCCGAGATCGAACGAGGTAGTTAGAGTCAAAATACCCAAGATAGCACAAACTATCTTGGAAGTGTGAGACAGTTGCAACTGTCTCAGAAATGGGAGACAGTTACAACTATCTCAGAAGTGCGAGACTGTCTCACACACTGAGAAGCTGGAAATGTGTTTTTTGATAGTTTTCTTGAGTTTCGTGCGGTCCACACAGCTTATTAACTGATGGGGATCACCTATGAACATGGAGAGAGCAGTTACAAGCAAGAATCACACCCATAACCACAAGAATCATGACATTTAAAGGTGGGAAAAGCAGTTACAAGGAGGAGGGAGCATTTTTGGAGTGGATCCAAAAAGCAGAGGCACAGAGAGTAGAGAGGCTATTACTGGAGCAATTAGTCAGAGATTTTAAAAAAGTTTGGGCAAATTTCAAGAGTTCATCTCCTTTTAGCAATTAGGAGGTTCCTTAAGATCTAAGCTTTGATTTGATCTTAAGAAGAGTGTTCATCTTACTTCGATAAATTATTCACTGACTCTATTCTTGCTTCTAAACGAAGGAAGAACCCCCAAAGTCTTCACGATTCAATCAAAATCTGTGAATCGGTGGTCCACGGGCTAACGCAGGAGTTGATAAACAATTTCTGTGTTATTTTCTAAAGAAATTGTAACTTTTTCTTTTTGTTGTGTAATTCATTGTAAGCGACTGAAGTTTTAATGGATTCTATAATAAAAATAATTTCCGACGAAAACGGGGGTGGCTAAGAGATTGAACCGTACCTTGCTGGAGAAGGTGCGATGTATGATGACACAGTGGATTGCCTATATCCTTTTGGGCCGAGTTGTTAGCTTATGCAACCCATCTCGTTAATAGGTTGTTGTGAATTGCGATATAGGGGAAGACTCCTATGGAGCGTTGGTCTGGTTTGATGGCTAGTGAGTATGAGTCGCTTCGGATATTCGAGTGTCCTGCTTATTATCATACCAATGATGGAAAATTGAATCCGAGGGCGAGGAAAGCAGTCTTTGTAGGATTTAGAGAATATGTTAAAGGCTTCAAATTATGGGATTCACAGGACAAGAAGATAGTCATTAGAAGAGATGTCATATTTGATGAGGCGTACATGATGAGGCCTCAAGTTCCTCGGCAGGTGGAGGAAGACCATATTAGTAGGATATCACAGCTGGTGGAGGATGATGTGACTCCACCCACTCCAGATAGTATTGTATCCATTGAGGCTCCGACAGAGGTGACACTAGAAGGAGATGGGATGACGGATGAACATTTAGAGGATATAGTGGATGGTGAGACTCAAGAGCAGGGTCATATTCAGGAGTCCATTGCAGCAAATAGACGTAGAAGGGTGATTCGTTGGCCAGCTAGATATAATGATGTCATGGTTGCATATGCTTTATCAGTGAAGGTCGTTGATGATATGGTTCCTTCTACAATCAGGGAGGTAAAGTCTAGTTTTGATCCGATCAGGTGGAGGGAAGCTATGGAGGAGGAGATGTGGTCTCTTCAGAAGAACGATACTTGGAAAGTTGCAAAGCTACCTTAAGGAAAGAAAGCTATTGGTTGCAAATGGGTATATGCGAAGAAAGAGGGATCTTTTATTGGAGACATTAGGTACAAAGCCAGATTGGTTGCCAAGGGATACGCACAACTTGAGGGTGTTGATTACAATGAGGTATTTTCACCCGTTGTGAAGCATTGTCAATTCGGATTTTATTAGCATTGGTGGCACAGCTGGATTTGGATTTGGTCTAGATGAATGTTAAGACAGTCTTTCTACATGGAGATTTAGATGAGGAGATCTACATGACATAATCCATAGGATTCAAAGCTGCAGGAAAGGAAGATTTAGTGTGCAAGCTGAAGAAGTCTCTTTATGGTTTGAAGCAATTACCGCGACAGTGGTATAAGAGATTCGACAGCTTCATGATTGGCCATTGATACACGAGGAGCCCATATGACCCATGTGTTTACATGCACAAGCTACAGGATGGTGAGTACATATATTTGTTATTATATGTTGATGATATGCTTATTGTTTCTAGGAATTCTTCGGCTATTCGAAAGTTAAAAAAAGAGCTGTTATCCGAGTTTGAGATGAAAGATCTTAGAGAAGCTAAGAAGATATTGGGTATGGAGATCGAGAGAGACAGGATGAAGGGGAGATTGAAGCTTACACAGAGGAGTTATTTACAGAAGATGTTGAAGAAATTTAGCTTTGATGGCAATGCAAAGCAATTAGTACTCCATTGGCTCCCCACTTTAAGCTTTCAGCTTTAATTTCACTTGTTTCAGTTGAGGATAGAGATTATATATCAAAGATTTTATATGTCAGTACAGTGGGTAGCTTGATGTATGCGATGGTGTGTACGAGGCTAAATCTATCACAGGCCATGAACATGGTATTGAGGTACATGCACGACCCTGGGAAGGGTCATTGGGAGGTCATGAAGTAGATTCTATGGTATGTTAAAGGCACCATGGATGTTGGTTTGATTTTTCAGAAGAATGAGAAAAATAGGCAGGATTGTATTGGCTATGTGGATTCAGATTATGCGGCAGATCTTGACAAGCACCAATCTACTTTAGGATATGTGTTTACATTGGCAAGAGCACCGGTATGTTGGAGATGTACACTTCAGTCTATAGTGACTCTTTCTACTAGAGAGGCGGAGTATATGGCGGTGACTGAAGCTGTAAAGGAGGTTTTGTGGTTACATGGATTGTTGGAGGACTTAGGGATTGTACTGGAGACTCTTCGGGTATATTGTGATAGCATGTCGGCTATCTATTTGGCAAAGAACCAGATTTATCATGCACGCACAAAGTATATTAATGTCAGATTCTACTTTGTTCATGATGTTTTGGATGATGGAGATGCCATATTGGAGAAGATCCATACGAAGGACAACCCTACGAATATATTAACCAAATTTATTTCAGGTGTGAAATTTAGTAATTATTTGAAGCTATTAAACATTCTTCAATGTTGAGGGCCTTTGGAGGCCATTTGGGTAAATTACGTGAGGCTTGATTCCTTGGGCAAGAGGATACATAGGCAGTCTTTTTGATGTAGCCGGTTGGATTTGTTGATTTCAACAGGGGGGATTGTTTGAGCTCTCGTTTGGGTTCCCGGCTTGTTGTGGATTGAGTCTGTTATCGTGGGTTGATTCCACTTTGTACTGGACGCAACAAGTGGGACATTTAGATGTTTTAGTGTCGGCTCAGCTTGGAAGAAACTTCACCAATGTGGAGATTTGTAGAAGTGGCGAACACGACGAAGAACAGCTCAGGAAAACAGGCAGAAAACAGGTTTCAGGCTGTTCGGTCGACCGCGAGTCAGCTACGATCGACCAGAAACGTGCATAGGTCAAAGGCACGTTCTGCGTTTGGAGACGGTCAACTTCCAGGGTTCAATCGACAGCAGCAATCGACCGCCAAACCCTGTAGGAGGTTTTTGTTTCTATCGTTCCTTTGCGGTCAACTGTGATGAATTTGACGGTCGACTGCCCGTCGGGTATGAGTCTGGGTTGGTTTTCTGATTCATTTTTTTTAGTGTATATAACCCTAAACCTGATTAATTAGGGTTAAATAAGGATGATTTGAGCAGACTTTTGAGAGAGTATTGTGCATCCTTTGTGGGAGGATTTGTGAGAGATCTAGAGAGCTTTGTTCTAGGGTTTCTTGGTGAGATTTGTAACCCTATTTGTATTCTCTTGATTTTTAATAGTAAGAACTCCCCCCTCCTTGCCCTGTGGACATAGGCAACTTATCGAACCATGTAAAATTCGTTTGTCTTGCTGTGGTGATTGTGTTTTGCTGGTGTGGTTGTGATTTATCTCGTTCTTGTTTGTCCACTTTCGTGCGATTCGAGTTCCGCTGCGCACAACACCTGACGCAGTCAATCCTCTCTCCACTAGCTGTAAAAACCCCCGGTTCGGTCGGCCTCGGTACTCGGGCGAGAGTAGCAGAGCTTAAGCTTAAACGAAGAACGTTGCCCAAAGAGAAAAGTAAAACTTTGCAAAAATATTAACAGAGGAAGAGAGGATAGAAGAGTTGATGTTTATCTTCTGAGGAGGAGAACCCCTGTATATATAGGAGCTGGAGGCCAAAGAGCCGTTGCTCCAAATCCGCACACATTACATAGGATCCGCATAACTCCCCGCGTCATCTCCGCATCCATTACGAACGAGTCAATCAAAACGTGTAAAACGTGTGCCAAACGTGTGCAGTGCGGCGTGGCGCGTCACATCGCGGCGAGCGCGCGCGCGTGTATGTTATGCAAAGCCCACAAAATCCAAAACACTATTCAAATCCCAATAAGGGGTGAACCAATATAAACCTCTTACTATTCATCTCATTTTTCAATGTGGGACTATTCACAAAGGAAAATTTGCCTTTTCATGAACAACATAGCCAACAGGGTATGTGGAGGGATGTCGGATACTAGCTGCGCATGATCCATCATTCAACTGATCTTTTTTTTCACTTTCTCTCTTGTAGTGATACTTGAAACAACTAATTTGTGTGTTAATTTACTTGTAATCTTTTTTCATCAAATTATTATCAATGAAACAGAGGAGTGTCTTTACCCTGCATTTCTCTCTAGAAAACTTTTCTATAACTCACCATTCTGATAGTTGTTTTAGAGAAAATCAACATAACAAAATTAGTTTTAAATACCAACACACAATGATTCAAAAACAGAGGAGGCACTTTCCACTTGCTTCCATTGCATCACTGATTTATTATATATACAAGACATAGCAAAACGCAACTAAATCTAATCCTCATTGATAAATTTTTTTCCCTCTAAAAAATTTCATACTGCTCATTGAAGACATGAAATCTTCGGATTTATGAAGCCCTTGGCGTTGCCATGGGCATTAATACAGTAGGCTTGCGGGTTAATCTTGTGATCTGATGAGATGAGATTCACCATGTCGAATTGCAGCAAATTGCATGGTACACTTTGGCTGCAGTTAAGACTTATTGCAGCAGGGGTCCTTGAAGTTCCTTGCAAGTTCGAATAGGTAACATTGCTGACCCGAATTGTGTTTTTCTTCAAGATGAAATGCAAGTACATTAGAAATATGAGAGTGAAAAAAGAAGGGCATAAATGTGAAATTTTATATAGAAAATGATAGCTATTCCTGTTTTCTATTAGCTAAAGATAATGTTCTTACCTTAGCATAAAACCGAATAGTCTGTTATTGAATATCGTATATATTTCAATTAACGATATAATGATAAATTACTCTTTGAGTATAGTTTGATTTAGCCACTTTTCATGGGGAAAATAATGTCTATAATTATTTAATCAGTCCTTACTAATATCAAATAGTGCATGCCCTTTAAATAGAAATATGTAGCATCTTCAAAATTTTGAAAAATGAGGGAAAATGTGACATATGATGAAAAAATTGGCCTTTTTTTCTATGATATATATAACAGCAATTAGGATGATAATATTGCCAACAACATGTACCTGATTCTTGCACTTGCCAGGAACGCCATCACAATAATATTGGTCAATGATTATTGGATTATCTACATTGGTGAAGTTGCAATGCTCAAAACTGATGCCTCTTGCAAACCCCTTACCTCCCTACAAATACAAATGTAAGTTGAAAATGACCAAATATTGAGAGACAACCCTGTAGTACTGTTGTTTTGAACTTACTGTTCCTCAAGTTTATTGTTGCAAATACACACCTGAGTGATTTTTTTGAGTTCTTTTTTACCCTCAATGTAAGAGAACTCTTTCTGACAAAGATTTTTGAAGGGTAAAAGAGTCAAACAAATCAGTTAGGGGTCCATCGGCAACAACAAAACTAGAGGAGTAGTAAGTTCAAACCATATTGATAACACACGCCATTCATCTGCAATTAACACTGTTACTTAATCCTCTGAAGAATTTTTCACATAAAAGTATACACAATTTTTTTACCTGCCATGTCTTGATTCTTACTCCATTGGTTGTTTCGTAAAAGTTTGAGAACCTAACAAAGACATCTTCTACCGTAGCTTCAGTCCCGTACTTCCCTAAGCTTCCAATGCTATCAAGCAATTACATTATCACTCCTTATTATTGTAATATACGAAAAAAGAGTTCTATCTTCAAAATTAAGCATAGATCATGAACCTGATGCCATGGCCTGGTCCACAGGCAATTTGCTCTATATGAACATCATAAACAGAAGTTCCAATAGATATGCAATCATCACCTGGATTTCATGATTATATATAATTAATAAGGTGCATTGTGAATTGTATTTCTTGAGGGACATAGGAGTGCTTTTACCTGTTCCTATGACTGATTTCTCGACTCGCACATGTTGTGAATTTTGAATATGGATACCGTCAGTATTGGGGCTAAGTCCAGGAGCAACAATCTTTAGGTTCGAAATAGTTACCCTTTGACTGTTTAAGATGGATATATGGAATTGTTGGCTGTCGACAGAGCGCAGGTTTGTCACCCAAAGATCAGAACAATCCGCAAACTTTATTGCCTGGGGAACAAAACCAAACATCAAAGAAAACATCTGATGGAATTTTGATAAAAGCTTGAAATTTGTATATGAATCATGAGTACAATGTTGTAAAAGTTAGCCAAATGAATGCTCAACCATCTAATTTTTTCTGTTAATAATTGACCAAAGAAAAAAAGAGGAATACTCACGTGTGGTGCTATCAAAGTGCATCCCTGTCAAGAGAAAACAGAAAGTTCCATAAGAAAGTGTTTATATATGTTGAGGTCTTAAAACGTATAATTGAATTCATTCCATATTCTATTATCGAACAGAAAACCATAATTATTCTTCTTTAGTTTATAGTCTTTAGACTAAGGCTGTAATACAAAATCAAATTAGTAGAATACACATGTTGTAAATGTATTTCAGATGAAACTAAATTGATTTTTTTTTTTTCATTTTATTCACAGAGTAGATAGATACGTTGTATGATCAGATCTAAGTCCAAACCTGTCAACCTAAAAGAAAATTTTCTAAGTATCATACCGCTTTAGGGCTAATTTTGCATGATTGCTTCCACCAATTTTGCCCTCGACCATTTATTTCACCCGAACCAGATACATTGAGTTTGCTAACAGACTCAAACTGTAACCAGAGAGTGGGATCAATTCCTCTCCATTTCCTGGGATCGTTCGGTGCAATCACAGTCCCTTCAATCTAATTATAAGTAAGAAATCATCATTAATTATTTTGGAGTGTTTCATTAGTACTACTTCTATTATATATTTTTTTAAAGGTATAGACATAGATTTTTCTTTACCTGAACAAAAACTTTCTGGAATTTGCAAGGACCCTTAAATGTTGTGGGCATCACCAGAAAAGTCCCCTTAGGCACAACCATTGTGGGTGGCCCTGTAGTTGCTGAAGAGATGAGCTCAGGATTCATGTTGTCAGGGTGGCGGTCGACCGGCCCGGTCGACCGCATTCGTGCACAAGGCTTCCTGTGCGTCTGGAAGGAGATCGGTCGACCGGTGCGGTCGACCGACGGTTCTCTGGAGTTTGGGTTTTCTACTGAGAGCTGGTCGGTCGACCGGGCCGGTCGACCGGAATTGATCGCGGTCGACCGGTCCGGTCGCCCGACGCTGTTTTGGGCTGGGCTTTCAGGTTTTCGACCCGATTCGTTTTGGATTTGTATAAATACCCTTTGGGTGTTTTTTAGGGTTAAGAGCAAGGACGAATTTGAGCAGATTGAGAGAGTTTTCTTTGGGCTTCTATTCTAGGAGCAATTGGAGAGATTGAGAGTTGATTGTTGAGGGTTTATGAGAGATTTGTAACCCTAGTTTGTTCCTCTTGATTTCTAATAGTGAAAACTCCCCCCTCCTTGCCCCGTGGACGTAGGCATCTTGCCGAACCACGTAAAACTGGTGTTTGGTTGTTTGTGCTGTTGATTTTGGTTGGTTGTTTATCTTTCTTGGCGATTGTTTTGGTTTCTCGAGGCACAACAATTGGTATCAGAGCTCCGGGCTACGCTTGGGCTATTTTGGAGGAGTAGATCGCTTTGGAAGTTCATCTAGGGCTTCGTTTGGTGATAAAGGTGGGATCTTTTCAGTAAAAATCTCGTCTTTTTCAATTTGGATCTATTTCTCGTTTGTTTCCGCATTGGTTTGGTGGTGCTTTGAGATATATGGCTGAAAAAGATAAAAGTGGGGAGGGTTCTTCTGGTGTGAAGGCCGTCCAAAGTTTGAATATACATTCTATGAAAATAGATGTGGAAAAGTTCAACGGCACAAATAATTTTGGACTTTGGCGATGCGAAGTCATGGATGCGCTAAATGCGCAAAATTTGGAAGATACATTGGAGTTGGACGGGAAACCGGCCGACATTGATGAAAAGGTTTGGAATAAAATGAATAGAACGGCGTGTGGTGTGATTAGGTCTTGCCTTACCCAAGACCTTAAATATGATGTGATGAATGAAACTTCGGCAAAGAAGATTTGGGAGGTCCTAGAGGGCAAATATTTGACGAAGAGCATCGAAAATCGTTTGCATTTGAAGAGGAGGCTTTATCGCTTCCAATTGAAGAAGGGGACATCCATTAGTGATCACATGAACCACTACACGAAGCTACTTGCAGATTTGGCGAATGTAGATGTCAAGGTTGAAGACGAGGACAAGGCATTGTTGTTATTGAGTTCCTTGCCCGACGAGGAATATGAGACCTTCGTCCTCACTCTTATTAATGGAAAGGCATCACTTTCGTATAGTGAGGTCACCGCAGCCCTTGTGAATTATCAACTTCGAAAGAAGGACAAGGAGACTTCCATCGAGCCGGTTGCTGGTGCATTGGTTGCAAGAGCTAGAAGTCCAAACCGTGGAAGAAGGTCGCAGTCTAGAGTGGGGCATCCTGCAGTTGGTAGGAATCAGTGTGCCTTTTGTAGAGAGGATGGACATTGGAAAGCCGAATGCCCAAAATTGCAAGCTGTGAAGAATAAAGGGAAAGCTATTCAAGCTTCAGAGGTGAATATTGCCAAGGCTAGTGGCGATGTTTCAGATTCAGATTCAGATTCTTCGGGCTATTCGTGCCCAGCTCTTCCGTCAGTTGATGTTGCCGACTCCACCGAGTGGATGTTGGATTCTGGTGCTACTTACCACATATGCCCTAGAAGGGATTGGTTCTCCAGCTTTCAGGAGTTGGAAAGAGGGGATGCTGTTCTCATGGGTAATGATCACAGATGCCCTATTGGTGGTATTGGTACCGTTCGGATTCGGATGAGTGACGGGATGATCCGGGAGTTGGCTGATGTGAGGTTCGTTCCTCAACTGAGGAAGAACATCATTTCACTTGGGGTATTGGAGGCATCAGGCTATAGGGTGATCTTGGCGGATTCTCGCTTGAAGGTCACATCGGGGTCCATAATTGTGATGAAGGGAGTCAGGCGGAGTAACTTGTATTATCTACTTGGGAGCACGGTAGTTGATAGGGCGCTGACTACTTCTATGGCTAGACTGTGGCATTGTTTGGTGCTGGGATATATTGTTGGTTATACCGTGCACAGATTGTTGAGGAGTGCTATGACCTGCAGATTGAAGTCCTGTGAGCACATTGGTATGAGCGAGAAGACCGAGGTGGAGTTCAGCACTTCTATCCATCGATCGAGAGGTCTTATTGGAGGTGTTCAGTCAGGCATTTGGGGGCTTTCCGAGGAGGCATCATCGGGAGGTAATCGTTATTTTGTTTCCTATGTTGGGGATTGTACTAGGCATATTTGGGTTGCAACCAAGTCCCGTTGGTATAAAGACCTAGTAGTCCGCAACAGTTGGAGGAGGTGTATGGGCAGAAAGGTTACCAGTCGTACTTATTCTAGTAGGAGTCCTTTCTTGCATTGGTGCCGAGCTCATGGCATTTGGAGACACTTCAGAGTAGAGGAGACAGTGGGGCGACGTGATGAGATGACGGATTTAGTGGGCCGTTCTTTTCTGGAGGAGGATCGGTATTGGTTGTCGAGCAGTGGATCTGGTATTCAGGCTTCGACAGGTTTGGGTCATCTTATGAGGTTGCCGACTGCTGCGTATAGAGTTGTTAGATCTGGTGGAGCTGTTTCAGATTTTGGTCGGCGTCGGATATTTGGCTACCCAGCACTTGGTCACATCGTTGATGTGAGGTTGGATCCGATTGCGCAGTTGGGATTCAGGAGTTCTTTTGGCTATCAGTTGGGAGCTTCTGAGTTTGGTCTGAGCAGGTTTGTCACTTTGGACTCTCGGCAGGTGGAGAGTATTGATCAGGTCAGAGGGATATCGCAGCGGGTGGAGGTTGATGCTACTCCACATTGGGTGAGGATTTCCTCACATACTCCAGGTCATTCTGCATTGGTTGGGATTCCAGCTGAGGTGGCACAGCGTGAGTCATTTATTTATGGGTGCAGATGATGAGGTAGTTGATTTGGATGCAGCTGATGGATATGTTTTGGATACGGCCATTGTTACATCTCAGGTGGAGGTGTTTGGATCGCTTCAGTTTGAGGTCGTTGATGATGCTATCAGCCGCAGGTTGGATTGAGGGCCTTTGGAGGCCCATATGGTGAACTACGTGAAGGTTTGATTCCTTGGGCAAGAGGATACGTAGGCAGTCTTTATGATGCAGCCGATTTGGTGAGCGACATCGACATTTGGGGAGAGTGTTCGCACTTCCATTTGGGTCTCAGCAAGTGAGGCATTTGGTGTAGTCGGTGTAGGCTCAGTTGTTTGGTGAGTAGACACAGTTGGTTTGGGGTTGAGTGTTCGCACTCCCGTTTGGATCTCGACGTGTTGTGATTGGAGTCCGTTGTCATGAGTCCGTTGCCATGGCATACTGGGTGCAACAGTTGAGGTATTGGCCCGGTCGACCGCATTCGTGCACAAGGCTTCCTGTGCGTCTGGAAGGAGATCGGTCGACCGGTGCGGTCGACCGACGGTTCTCTGGAGTTTGGGTTTTCTACTGAGAGCTGGTCGGTCGACCGGGCCGGTCGACCGGAATTGATCACGGTCGACCGGTCCGGTCGACCGACGCTGTTTTGGGCTGGGCTTTCAGGTTTTCGACCCGATTCGTTTTGGATTTGTATAAATACCCTTTGGGTGTTTTTTAGGGTTAAGAGCAAGGACGAATTTGAGCAGATTGAGAGAGTTTTCTTTGGGCTTCTATTCTAGGAGCAATTGGAGAGATTGAGAGTTGATTGTTGAGGGTTTATGAGAGATTTGTAACCCTAGTTTGTTCCTCTTGATTTCTAATAGTGAAAACTCCCCCCTCCTTGCCCCGTGGACGTAGGCATCTTGCCGAACCACGTAAAACTGGTGTTTGGTTGTTTGTGCTGTTGATTTTGGTTGGTTGTTTATCTTTCTTGGCGATTGTTTTGGTTTCTCGAGGCACAACAGTTGCGGAACAAGCCGAAGCCCATGCTTTAGCAAATGCCTACAAAATATTAGAAATAAGCACAAAATTCATAGATTCAAGAATTAATCTTAATTTTACAGTAGGATAAATAAAATTAGCGTTTATTCATCTAATATCGCTGTTTTTCACTTGCTACCCTTGTATGTTTGTTGTTGCAGATAAACCTCCAGGGTTTTTTTTAAATTCTTTTACCTTTGGTGAAATTATGGCAGATTTTGCTCATGAGTGAAGTTACTGAGTCTACCTACAGGTAAAAGAGTCAGAAAATTTTAACCAAGGGGGGTCCATCTGCAACAATTAAACTATGGGGACGGTAAGTTCANTGCTATTAGCCCAAAATTACATGTGCAATAATACCTGTGTGTCATCTGCAACACCATTTCCCTTAGCTCCAAAATTTAGGACATTGAATACAAGTGGAGAGCCTGCACCAACTATGCCAACTTCTAGCAAAGGGACTAGGCCAAAGAGTATCATAACGTGAAAAATACCCTACAAAAAATTTAATATAAAGTTAAAAAAAAATCAGACATGAAGTTTTAGTGAATGTATAAAAATCTGACAACAAATGGATGAATTAGTTTCTCACCATGTTATCTTTCAAACAAGAAGGTTAAGTACTCTAGTTTTGAGACAACCTTTTAGTGGAAAGCTTGCAAGATTCAGCTAACTATGAGATAAAAGTATATATAACAAACTGTAGATCCTCACCTTTAGAAGCAATTAAATCATAATTAATCCATACTTGCTACAAAATTGTGAATACCTTGAAGAGGAAAATACTAACTAAAAAATTAACTTAAATGTAGAGAAACTAATTAATACCTTGACCAAAATACATCCTGTGAATATGTATATAACAAGCAGATTATGCGCTTGCTCAATGTGCAATAAGACATTAAAAATGAGCAGTTTCAATAGAAGGTAAATCTGCGCTTGCTCAATGTGCAATAAGACATTAAAAATGAGCAGTTTCAATAGAAGGTAACTGTCAATGTTTGATACAATTTAATTTCAA